GACCGGACCCTATTTTCTGCTGTCGGAGACCCCAAACGAACCCCCGTCCTAGCGAAGTTGTACTGCACGACCTTACCGAAAATAGAAAGAAATGAAACGACGAAAATGAAACCCACACAAGTGCACCTCCTGGCTGCGAACAACCAACAGTGGCCATATATGAACCGCGCCGTGCTGGGTTGGTGCTTAGAGGTAGGGGGTTCACGGGTTAGACGGAACTTAGACCTTGGTTAGCCGACCATTAGACACTGCCTATGGCTGCCCTCACTGCTCACGGGACTAGTTGAGAACTTTGCACCTAGCTCCCGAGATACCTGTATAACGAGGCTTGTATGCTAGTGCCTCAACTTGGGCTGGATGGGGGACCTCATTCAGCGTTGGTGCCCGCTTCCGCTGTCTGGTCAAGTTGCTCCAGTAGAGAGTGATGTTCCTCGCATGAGGTAAGACAGAAATGGAGTGGGGTGGCGCCAGGAGGTATATCGAGAGGGGTGGTAGGATGGGAGTCTCGTGAGTATGTTAAAAAAAAAAAAAAAAAAAAAAAATAGCTTAGGCTTACCAAGTGTATTTAAGACTGAGGGTATCCCTACCGTTTTCCCCTGAACATAACGCACCCTAAAAATGAATGCATACAAGCTATATTTCCGGCCAGATACAGCCAAAATAAGGGTGCGTTGTGTTCGGGGGAAGACCGTAGCCCTGGATCCTGTAGTAGTTGGTTACTGAATACATTGTAGGGTAGATAGGGCTTGAGGGAGGTATAAATACAGGTAGCTGGAGCGAGGTAAGAGAGAAGCAAAGTAGGACATAACCCCTATGAGGAGAAGACAGCTGTATTTAAAAGAAAGAAAGGAGCAAATCAAATTTGGACTCTATTGGGCCCCAACCACATGGGTCAAGAAAAAAATAAAAAATAAAAAGTTATACGTATCATTGGGAGATGGTATTCGGGAAGATATCATCACCGAAGGAAAATCGAAAAGGCAGAAAAAAAGAACCTGGACTGCTACTTCTCGGAGTGCGTATGGGCGCGCAGAAGGACCCGTTGGCTCCAGGAATGCCAGAACTTACAGATACAAAAGCATAATCTGTGGGAGAAATACAGAACCATAGACAAAATCACACAGACAGACAGAATGAACAAAAAAATGTTTGTTGCAGCTAAATCAAGAAGCGGGAACCCACTCATGGTMGAGATGAAACACCCATCAGATCAGACACAGCCTAC